TTGGGTAAAAGTGCACCTAACGACCTTTCAAGTGATTGGCAAGTTGCAGTGCCTCACTACACAAGCTGTATTGCTGGTCAGAGGGCTTTAAACAAATTTTTGTGAAAGTACATAAGCTTTAACTATAGTATTCTCATTCCAGAAAAGGATGCGTTTCTTTTTTCCATCAGTATAGCTTTCTTTAAAATAAAGGTATACAGTATAGGAAGACATCTTATCACTGGAAAACTTATATTTTGCTATTGTTTTTGCATTTTCATTACCATTAAGCTTTATCCAGACAGTTTAATGAATTGATAAAACAATGTATTATGTGGATTGGAATCAAACCTGACATTTTATGACTGGGAGATCAAAATGAATTAAAAGGTTGATACTGTCTTGTTAAGGAGATAAAATATTTTAGTGGTATTAAAATTAATCATTCTTATTAAGTAGAAATTCTGTAACAATAGACTGGTTACAACAGCTTATTTATCACTTATGCGTATGTGGGAATGAAGTCAGAATAGCCATTGTTTAATCACACTTCAGAATTTCAGTGTGGAGCGGCTTTAGAAATCCATAGAAATGAGTAACATTGGAATGATTGCACTGTAATTCTAAACGGGGGAGCAGATGTATGTAGAGCAGAAGAAAGGAAGTCTCTGAATAATGATTGTTTCCCTCTTGGTGATGCCTGCATTACATCCAACACATAAAAGCTTTTAGTGCCTGTAGTGTACAGTATGTCATTCTATTTGGAAGCCATCTGGTGTCTGTGTTTCTGCTCGTGTGTTTTGTGCTGAACCTTTGAAACAACTTCTGTCAAGTTAGAAAGCAATCTTTCCCTCCTTTCCAGGTCCTGGTACTTCTGTCTACACGTGGCGTGCTTGCTGTTGGTGATGGTGTTACCGGTGAAACCAAGGCATAAACGCAACAGTCACCAGGAGAACAGTCTTCAGCAGGCACATCCGCAGGGGCGACCAGCAGTACAGAACAGCCACACCGCCACAGACAACAACTGCAACCAGAAACAGAAAGCCACATGAAGAACGGTCCTGGAGGCAGTGTGGTGAACTCCAGAGCACTGATGCAAGTGCCGAGATTCTTTTTTTTTTAAAGAAAAAAAAAACAACAAAAACAACCTTCCAGTAGCACTAAGGAGAGGGATGAATATTACTTGAAGAAGAGGGAACTCATGCAGAGCACTGTAAACTGAACAAATGAGCATTGTCAAAACTGAGTAATAATAATCGTAATGGGGATGGGGGAACATACTGTGGTTTAATCCAGTGGCAGTATGCAGAAGTATGCAAAATGATGTTTTAAGTTGCCTTAAACCCTCTATCTACTAACCGGCCCCAAGACTGACGTACACGTGCAGTGAATTTTGCCGTGTGTTTCAAGAGGTTCGGTAACTATGGCGACAGTAGCAGCGGTCTTCGGGGTCAAGGTTCAAGCAGCAGGCATTGCTGTCTTTGGCAGATCGTGGTATTTAGAGGGTTTTGGTCCTTGTAAAGAATACACTACGACCTCTCCAGTTTTTGAAAAAGAAATAGAAAAAACGTGGCGCTGTGTTCGATGCCAAGCTCCTTGGATAAGCCTTAGGATCCATCCATGCCATATTGATTTGTTTCTGGGTTTCTGTTCTAAAGTCAAGAGGTCATTTCAGTCTTGTCAATCCTAAATCGTAATATTCCTAAGCATGAGTGTTAATGAGAAATATGACTGTACGATAAATGGACGTCTTTGCCATGACTGTACTTCTGGTGCAGCTTAAGGGTTCATTTTTTGTTGTTGTTATTGCTTTCCTGTGGATTCATCCCACTTATTCTCCCCTGAAGTTTTAAAATCCATCGCAGGTTTTTTTTTTTTCGGAAACTCAAAGCCTTGTCAATAGCAGCACCTTTCCTCAGTGTCAGCCTGACAAGCTCAGATCAAGGGAGGATCACAGAAACAAAAGCTTTGGATAGTTAAGGTGCGATTATATGGAGGCTTCAGGGTCTTCTGGTCACAGGTCCAGGAAGGACTCCAAAGCACCAGTGAGTCTCGGTCACAGCCGTCACGGTTGGATCTATGACTGATTCCAAAGCCACACTACAGCTGAAAGGCTTTCAATCCCAATTCGACAGACATTGCTTCTATAAACCACCAAATTCTGGTCAAATACTGTCACCCGTTTTTTAAAAATGTTCCTTTTAGGTCAGTCTAAATAGCAAGCATTGGAAATGAAAGTTAAGTCATTTTAATTCAAATTAGTGGTTCAAGAATGTGGTTAATACAGTTGCAGCTAACGTCGACTTTATCTCTAGTTTTTAGTGCACCCGTTGAAAATTTAATGAAAAATGCAAGATCTTATGAAGTATAAAATAATATATAACAGAAAAATGTTTTTAGCTACTGAACAACCGATTATCAAACTGAGGTCAGCAGTACAGTTACAGTATACAGTATGTAATATAACCGGCTGAAAGCAATGCTTTGTTTTCATTGTAGCCTTTTAAGGGATATGACCTTAGGATTTCTAGTTGTTCTTCAGATTCACAGCAATACAGTATATTGGCCACTGATCTTTCTTTCTGTAAGGTAACTTTATTCCTCCTATAATTATTATTTTGAGATCTTGTATGTTTTTATAGACTTGAGTTCCTGTTCATGCAGGGGTGTTCTCAGCTCTGCCCTTTATCTCCTGGGATGGCAGCCACTGGATATTCAATTAAATTGGCATTTGGGCACTGAAGTTGTAGTGGCATATAGTTGATTCGTAGTGTGAAAGGCCTCTGTTGTGATTTCCTGTCTTTCTGCTAATATTTCAGCCTTACCTATCTAGTCTGTGTTACTGTTTACTTCTGCTGTGTAGAACTTCTCAGTAATCAAGCAATAAATCTACAGGTAATACTACAAAGTTCGAGTTTGTAGTTCAGTGTGCAGTTATTCTGGTAAGAGTTTGTATTCTAAGAGGAAATAGTTTGAGTGTTTCTTTCATGTCATGGGGGGATAAAGGTTCTTTCAAAATGTATTTGTTTAATGTAGCAATATCTCTTTTACTGGAGGGCTGGATAATGTATCTTCCTGTTGTTTTATCAGCAAGCTGACTACTTTCTGCCTCTAATAGGATTAAAATATTAAAATCAAATTTTAATCATATTACCTATTGTATATCTGAGAGCTGGTATAAGGCCTAGTGTGCTCTAGTACGAGTTTTAAGGTTTAAAATCAATGCAGTTTGTAGTAGACCAGCCTCAAGACTAGAAATGTCATTAGGAAAG